CCCCCCCCGGTGCGTGCGCGCAGATCAACGGGATAGTCGTCGCGGTAATAAATCGCGCGAGCCTCGCGTGGGACGACGCGAGATGGCTGCGGTCGGAGGTTTCTCCCCGGCGTCTCTACCTATTGTCGAAATTCGAAATAAGCGAGAAAGTGGAGGAACAATGCGCGATCGGACAGTGAAATATGGCGCGCATCTATATATTCAACTCATTAGTTCGGAAGCTGCGCGCTCTGGCGTGCCCGCGCGTGACGTTACTTTCTTTATCACCGAGATTCGGACGTGGGTTCGCGTGACAACTAGATATACATACGTCTTCAAAGTCACTGTTCTTTTTTATTCATGTCCCACTGATCGCCGATACATCTCCCTTATTCGTTTGTTTCTTTCCGCAGCATTCCGCTTTATTAAGTTGTACAGAAGTTATTTATCGCTGTATATCTATATATATATACGTACACACACATATATATATATGTATGTGTGTACGTCTCGTTAATTTACAAGATTGCGTCTTAAGAGCGCACGTCATCCGTGTTATCGAGAACTGCGCCGCTGTAGGCCAGGTCCCAATAGTGCTCGACTTGATGCTTTTTAAAGTGCTCCCGGGCCATCTTCTCGATCGGGCACAGTTTAGTCTTCACGTCGCCGAAATGCCGCTGTTTGCTCGTCCCCTCCCAAACGAGAACGCATCTGTTCGGCACGTCGTTTCCGTCGTTATCCTTCACTATATCCTCTTCCCATTTAATGCGATGCATCATCAGTCGCTTGTATTTGGCCAATTGTTTCGCCCCGCCCTCCACTACGATAACATTACAATCCCGGAACAGCATCACGCAACCGGTGAGATAAAGTTGTTTCGCGTTGGTCTCCACCTTGAATTTCTTCGAGGCGTTGTTGTTGGTAAGATCGCGTATTCTGCCAAGATATATTACGCGTAATAAAATATGCGAGGAAAATGTATGTGATACATGCAACAATGTAATATATATTCGTACCTGTAAACGGCAACGTGCACACCGAGACTGGTGTCCTCTTTCAGTTTCCTAGCTTTCTTCTCGCGACGTTGGTCAGCAGTGAGTCTTCGCGCTGCATTCGCGTCCTCATGGGCTTTCAGCCTCTTGGCCATTTGTTGCCGAACATGAGCTTCAATTTTAGTAGGATCCTGCACAGCTTCAGTTCCCAAAACTCGCATGAGATTCGAAATGCGCAGCTTTGGCTCCGGAGGTGGTTCTAAACCTAATCGTATCTTTTCCTGCTCCTCCTTCCACGCTTCCCGTCTGTTTTGTCTCCTCAATTTCTTACGTTCTTTCTTCGTAAGGAAAACCGGCATGTATATCGGTTTCAAAGGATCCGCTGTAACGATGATAGAAGACAAGTGAGACATCAAGTACGACTTGTATGTAATAACGAAACGTGAGAGATAGAATAAGTGCGATACGTACTTGGAGGACGCATTTGCGTCGGATGCTCCACTAAATTGGTGATAGTCGAACTTTTGATTGTCGTTGGCTCGCTTTCGTTAGGATATCCACCGGTTAATATGACGGAATCCCACCATTCTACATTAGGCACGTCTTCAGAGAGGGCTTCGTTTTTAGGTGCTATAAGGGCTAATTTCGTCGCCGAACTAATTCCAGTCTTTCTAGCAATTTGACTAATTTCATTTTGTAATTTCTCTAATTGCGCTTTCATGCGCATTCTCTCCGCCTGTTGCTGGAACTTTCCCGGCTCGTGGAATTTCAGCGAACGTTTACCGCGCACCGCTGATTTCACTCTTATTCTGTTGTCGAAAAAGTAGGTGTCCTGTATCTCCTCCGGACCTTTCGACTCTTGCAACTGAGCCTTGAATTCTTCCCGTTTCTTCGCGCGTATGTTAGCCTTCAAAGTGGGCACCACTTGAGTGAGCTGCACTTCTTTGCCCGTTATGTCTACCGTTCTGCCAGATTCGTCCAATATTAAAGGCGTCGGTTTGTCCGGCACACTAACATTACCGAGCACTCCTGAGTTCAACTTATTCCTGATCTGAGCTTGCAATGCAGCTATCTTCCGTGCTTTGTCTGAATCTGTTTTACTCAGTAGGCCTTGATTATACATGCTCCCTACTGTAGGTAACGCGTCGCGTCCTTTGAACAATGGTTTTGCAGTGACGTCTTCTTGGTTTGTTGCCTTCAAAGCTCTTTTCCTCTCTTCTATCTCCCTTTGTGCATTAGCCATCATTTGTCTGATCTGAAAATATATATTAAGCTAGTATTAGGACAAATTGTGACAAATATTAATACCTAGAAAATTATGATTGTACACAAATAAAAACTTCACAGCACCTTATCTTCAGAATATTGATTCTCTATGGGTTTCTCATTTTTTACATCGTCATCCCTGAATCTTGATTTCTTTGCATCTTTGTCTTTATCCTTGTCTTCGGCATGAGTCCTCTTCTTACTTTTTTGAGCTGCTTTAGTGTCATCATATATTGTAAAGATTTTTTCTGTCAATTTAGAAGCTTTCTTCTCTTCTAATAATGCTGATAATTTATCTATAATTTAAGAAAATATACATTATAAGATTATGAATATCTTTATTGTACACCTTGATACATGTAAACTATAATACCGTCTACTTTGAATACTTATGATACAAGAGTTATATAAAGAATTCTTTTTTCTAAGTGTTTTTATATATTTTATATATATTTCTTTATATATTTCGTTATATATATTTCTCACTAACCTGCTGTTTTACGTTTGTCATAACCAGACGTAATACAATTTACAGCAGTAGTTACTATTGCTGGTTCACTGAAGCCAAGGAACTTGTGGACCGCTTTTTCAATCTGCGGCTTCATTTCGTCTATTTCTTTTCTCGTTAAATACGACATATTTCTTGCTTTATTTTATTTTATTTTATTTTCTGTATTTACAAGCGATAATTTGTAGAAAAGTCTATCTTCATAACATAATCTTAGCAAGTTTTAAGGTTAAGTATCACCACCAAGTTCGAACAGCTCGGAAATAACTGTACTGAATCCTATTCAATACTAAAATTTTTGTTCATTATACAAAAGAACGTATATATACATATATTCTTGTTATATTTGAACCGCACAAGATATCGACTTTTCAAACAGTAAACTCGCTACGGCACACGTTGGTTGCGTTCAGAAAATATAACCGTTGTACATGCAATTGCTTATGATTCGCGCATGCGTCTAGATCCAATGCTTCTATATACCAATCAGATCTGGCTTCAAAAGACAATACATATATCCGTTGTATTTTCCGAATGTAACTATTGATGTACTCTACAATTTTGAATGATATTTACAAAACGTAATAACATGTTCACACGATAAGTAACGATGCTATGATCAATTATTACACATTACATATCCATTATTTATAGAAAAAGGAAAAGTTTTCTAGTAATTTTGTGATTTGTGTATTATTCCCTAACTTTGCTGCATTCCTATTAGAATTTATTTACCATTGGTCGGCAGCTATCTTCTTTTATCGATCTTCCGTAGACTGACTGCAAATTCCCTAGTTTGCTGTTATCTCTTTTTCCCTATAGAGAAAAATGAAGAGCAATGAAAAAAATGTGGAAAAACTATGTAGGTTATATATTTTTCCAGTAGGGTTTATTGATCATATTTCTCCGTATCTTCTCACATGGATACTGATAACATAATTATCCGTGTTATTAATTTCCTGGCTTTTACTCATTTTGCTAATGACGGTATTTATACTCACCCTTGAAGCGAGAAGGGTTCTCAAGGGAGATTTAGGTAGCCTCTCGTAATTGGCACGCATTGACCCTTGACTGGATCTTCAAGTCTAAGAGGGCTATGTATACAACAAGCGCTTTGATGCTCCCGTGCATGAGCACCGCGTTAATAAGAAAACGAGCAAATTTGCTTTGTCAAAATGCGTTTACCATTGCACGAATCAATGTAGGAATAATTTGAAGTGGAACTTTACATTTTCTTCGCATTTGATATTTTGGAACAATATTAGATTCAGTAAAAATATTTTATAAGACTTAAAGTAGAATTAGGAAAATGTAAAAAGGTACAAAAATAAATAACGACTAGGTCATTTTTAAACAACAATTTATTCGAGATAACATGTTTGCGTTACTACGCGAAAGACGTTTGATAACATCAAATTAATTGACCTGGAACATTAGCCGGAACTGGAATCATGTGGTACGCTGACGAAAATATTGCACATACGTCCCGAATTCTTTCGTTTAATTACATCATCTATTACCGTGACGTGGTCTAATCAGAACATTGCGTGAGAATCGAATTGCTGAATTCCGACGCTCGTTTCCGACCACTTTCAATAGTTTCGGCGAGTACCGAAGCGCCGAACAATCAATCACTATGCATCTTACGGCCGTTCAGAGGAGACTTACAACGTAACGTGTTGTTGGAACGAAATATACGAAGGTGTAAAGGACGAAAGCGGTTGCGAGGGTGGTGGAATGGCAGTGGACCGACAACCGCAAATGAGAATGGCAGAGGGAACTACGCTGTTCCACGCTTCTCTGGTGACCGATGAGGCCAATTCTGTGAACCACATTTGCTCTATTCCAAGGCTGTTGCTCTAAACTTTTCTGTTGATTGAAATGAAGGAATTGGAATTCCGCAGGCCCCGCATTTCCTTTGTTCGGTTTAGGCATCAATTTAAACTTAATTGGCGTTTACGATATATCGTCGCGCATTACTGTTTATTCGCCCCGATCGAAATTTTGGTTCTTTCAAGTCTTTGACGGGATTTGCGACGCTAACGTGGAACCAAAATTTCGCCTTGGGTTTATTCTAGAAGAGATAGGCGACGCTTACTTTGCTTTTCACGGGCGTAAAATAAACACACGACTGTCCGGTAATTAATGAATGAGTATCCTGGAAATAAATGTTCTATATTTAATAATGAAAACAACACGGAAGTGCTTCGGCCATTTCGTTTCGCTCATTATATTAATTATAATGCTGTTTATAAATTGACGTGGGAAAAAATTCTGAAAATTATAATTAAAAATTCATATAAATCTGATCTCTGGTGTGTGTGTGTGTGTGTGTGTGTGTGTACTCCGGTATAGAAAGATAGAAAGTAGAAGAAAAAATATATCCAAATTTATGATTACAAATTAATTGTAAACGCGAAATCACACAAATCATTATATAAAGAACATATGAGAGTGCTTGGGAATAACGCAAAAATTGAAGCATGTTCTTGAAAAGCAATAGGTCTGGTCAAGCCGCAACTGCAGGTCGCTTGATTTGTATTCGCTAGTAAAAGTTGCACCGTAGCTATCTGTTAGGCAAATTACTGCAAAGTAACTGAAACTGACTGTTGATACGGAATGGGATATCTAGCGTGAACGTAACATGCAGTTCCTGAATCCAGTTTGTAAAACCAAACTTCAGCCCAACTGCAAAATTCAGCAATACACTGCAAAATCGATCGCGTCAAACTTTTATTGAAATTATTTCGCGTAAAAAATACGTGATTTGGAACTGCGACAATGGAGGGGAATTTTTCAAACGTTATTTTCGCACAAAAAAATTTTACACGAGAGGGATACACAGGTTCGTGCTGTAGCGTTGCATCGCCGGGTAACCGGAAATAATTTAACGGATTATAAAGCAGAAAGAAAAAACCGATCGATTGTTGTTACATCGAGGTCTCCTTTGATTCGCCGGAGATACGCTCGCGCCGATTGATTTTCCTTTCGCTGTAAAAGGCGTCACGGATCGTAAAAATTTCGCTTCAGCCGTAGTTTATTTTATAGAAACCTTAACGTTCTTGGTGGTACGTAAAAAATAAGGATATGTAAATGGCTACGTGTGTAACAGTCACTGATGTATCTGCGTAAACCGCGTCTTCGTTTCGATAACGGCCCGATATCGACGGCAGCCGCCATAACTTTTAAGTAATCTGCTTTACGTCGCAGATCATAGGAAAAGAACTTACATTTCAAGAATCTTTCATCCTCTTAAAACAGACGACTCTGCAGACGATGCGCCTTTCCGGAATAGTCCAATACCCTCTTTTTTTTTTTTTACGATCGCGTTCTGCCTCGCTTGGCTCTTGACTGTATAGTCCCATATCTATTTCCGTGAAACCGTAAAATTGCGGTGCCCCCGTGCCCTGACTACGTACAGATAAGTGACGGGATTCCGAGTCTTTATGCCATGAGATGCACCGTCAACGTCTTGATAATCACGAGAACCATATTAACCCGCCGTATTAACGGGACGAGCTTAAATCGTTTATCACCGCGGTCGATGTGAAGTGGCTTTCGCGACTTGGGGGCAGTAAATAATCATGCAGTTGCGAGGCAAATAGGAACAGTCCCGTCTAATGATCCGTTCGTAACATAACGGAGCCCACCAGCATGCAAAGACGTTCCCATTTCGCTTGATTTACCTCGATCACCGTCTCTGCCAAACGAGTCCTCCTTAGGATACATTATATTCGCGCAATCTTACGCAAAAAGTTCTCTCTCTCTCTCTCTCTCCCGTTATTTGCAACAATGACGCGATACACACGATGCTGCCTCGCGGGTTATATTCACTATGTATCGGGTCAGTCGTGTTTCTTCGTAAATTTAACGATTTTGCCGGTAGACGTGGGCACGTCCCAAAATGATGTACGGTTCGCTCGTATGAGTCGGCAGCTAATGCTCTAATATGCGCAAAGGGTGCCATGCCCGTGTCACGCGGATTACCACTAATTGTAGTTTATGCTTTATACTACGCTATTCTCTTGTACGGCCGTTGGGTATTCGATGTATTAACGGAGAGCGACGGGTGTGTGCGTCCGCGTATACAGAGACGTACGCGTACCTACATATCATGCGCGTAAAGATACGTGATGGATCGTACATACGCGTATATGTGTACACGTGCTGCTGAACGTGTATCCATACGATAGAGGTTCCCAAATTTTGCGGTCATTAACCCGAGACCTCGCTATCTTTCAAGATGCAACGATGATTTTATTTTCATTCGATCGAACGATAATCTTGCGGATCATTGAAACGCGTCTCAGACTCGCGAGATTTGTGTAAATTATAGTTAAAATGTTTCTCCCGATTTGTTACCCGCGAGGATACTGAAATATTCAACGCAGAAGCTCTCGGCGGGGATGTCTCGGGTAAAAATTTCAGCAAGGCAACTTTCGAATTTATTAGACGTGACGTCACCGTATCCGGCAACGTTTCCACGTCGTTATCAATCAGACAATACGACCTTCTTTTCACGTGTTCATATTAATATTCACTATCCGATGATTTCTCGCGAATTTTCCAAATAAATCCGAACATGATACACGCGAGACGCGGCGAGATCTCTCTCTCTCTCTCTCTCTCTCTCTCTCTCTCTCTCTCTCTCTCTCTCTTTCTCTTCCTATTTCTCGTTGCAAAAAAGGAAGTGACGTTTGCCGGCGCGGCGAAATTAGCACGGCCAAGAAAATAATTAGTGCAACGCGACACGTGAGTGGTTGAGCATTGCTGCTGCACACGCGGGGAAGCGGATGGGGAGCTCGGACTTTCTCAGCTGTCATGTCCGCGCGTCCGTCAGCCGGACTAAAATAACCGGGCACCGCACCCCTGCCTCGCAATTAAGCGCGACTATATCTACTAGCTATACGCAACGTACGACCCCCCTTCTCCCCCGACTACGCAGAGACGTGTACGCAGGTGTGCACGAATACGCGACGAGAGAGAGAGAGAGAGACCCTCGTGTAAAGGGTGTATTCACAGAGTGCATCCGCAGCTTCCAACGCGAACCTTGCTTTGGAGATCGTCGGCTCATTTGTTTATTTTCAATTTCGCCACACGCCACATGCCGTTGCTCGCGTTATTCAGTAATTACTGTCTGGCGGATTGTGATACCTTTGAGCATAGAAACATCGTGTAGTCGCGACAGGAAGCATTTAGGGAAGGTCTTCCGCTCGTCAGAAGCGGCCTCCTTTTGTTTTTTTTTTTTTTTTTTAAAAAATGCAACTAATGTTGAACATTTCCTATCGCGATATCGTCGGAATTGTTGAAACCTATTTTCGCATGTAGCAGCATACGTTTCGCCTCCTCTGCTTCTTGGAAAATTTTAAATGGCTCTTCCATCGATTCAGGTGACACTTATTGACCGAGTTT